TAGCTCTCCTCATGAGCCCTCAGTGTTTGGGGAAGCCATCCTGGCATTGGCCCACCCCATTCCCATTTCTGAAAACATGGGAGAGTGTCATTGTCCTTGCTGAGGCTTGTTGTGTGAACACATGCCCTGCATGGGGAGGGTTCTGATTGCCCTTTGGGGGTTCTCATCAGCCTGTCACTCCTTATGCCTGCCGATGCTCTAGAGGCAGAGGAGACTTCAGAACTGTTCGGCCCAGAACTGGCGTAAACCAAGGCAAGTCCTCCAGCTTCCTGGGTTTCTCGTTTCCTCATTTGTATTCAAAATTAATTGAGGCAAAGGGGTAGTCAGGAGGTTGAATTGGTATGAACTTGTGTTAGAAAAGCCCAGTTCTTTCTCCAGTGTCTCACTTACTGTGACATTGCTGCCACACACGGCACTTCTGACCCCAGATGTGCCCACAGCAGGCAATTCTGGGACACCACCTGGGTATCCTACAGTTTAGCTCAGTTCTGACATGGTCTGCCTGGAGCTGGTGTCAGACTAAGGGCTCTGTCCCACGGGACTGCTCCCCCCAGATCAGGTGCCGATCAAAAGTCCAGGTGGTCACCTGTGCTTCTGACCAATCAGCAATAAATGGGGGTTCCCCACAACACTCTCCTCGGGTTCAGTGAACTGGCTAGAGCAGCTCACACATCTCGGGAAACATTTACCTTTGCCACTTTATTAAAGGACACAGTAAAGGATACAGATGAACAACCAGATGAAGAAATACACAGGGTGAGGTCTGGGAGAGGGCCTGAGTGCAGAAGCTTCTGTCCCTGCGGAGTTGCGGTGCATCGCCCTGCTTACATGTGGATGTGTTCACCAACCTGGTTACTCTCTGAGCCATGTACTGTTGGGATCTTTGGGGAGGCTTCCTCAGTAGGCATGTTCAGTCATTAGCTCTACGTCCAGCCCCTCTGCCCTCTCTAGAGAAGGGGACAGGCAGGGCTGAAAGTTCCACGCTGCTAATTGTGGCTTGGTCTTTCTGGTGACCATCTCCCATCCAGGAGCCCACCCAGACCCACATTAGAACAAAAGATGCTCCCAGTGCTCTTATCACTTAGGAAATTACAAGGGTTTTGGGAGCTCTGTCCCAGCAACAGGGGGCAGAGACCAATATGTATATTTTCTATTACCTCACAGAACTCTTGTGAAGTATGCTGTGCCCATATATTGTCCTGTGTTAACTTCTAATAGTGTTGCTAAGTCTGCCCACAAAAAGCCCTGGAGTATTTGCCAAGGGTGTAGGGGAGCTGTGGGTTTGTCCCACTTGGAGTTTGGGACAGGTGGCCACAGAGGGGGGATAGAAACCAGCCCACGTGGCTCTCCGTGCCAGCTGCAGTTCCAGTGGTCTGCCCCTGTGAGGCTTGGTCAGCTCAATTTGTGCTGAGTGATGCTGGCTCTCCTGTCTGCTTCTTGCCAAGTCATGCTTTCACGCATCCAGTTTTCCTGGCTTCCTTCCTCTTTTACATCATTGCATCAGACACAGTGCCAGTCATATGTCTCCAGACCACACCCACAAGCCCTGTTATATAGGGGGAAAGGTCATCGGCTCGGGGCACTTATTGTCTCCTGTGGAACACTGGCCTGGCATGTCCTGCCTTGGTCAAGGCCTCATGATTGTACTGACATGGTGGGTGAAGGCACTGTTATCCAGGTTCCCATCTGTGACAGTTGTAATCATGCCATATCCCCACCCAGTTGTCCCTGGCTGCCCAGGACCCAAAGACCTCTGACATGTAGAGGGCTCCTGGGCCCTTTGCATGCTGGTCTCAGTGTGTTTCATAAGGCTCATCTCTTACCGAACACCCTTGCATCCACACATACAAATGCATCCCATCTTACCACACTTGAGTCACACCCGATTCTATTACCTCTGCTCTTCCGTAGTCCTGGCCTTTGTACGTGCTTCCCCTGACTTCTCTTATCTTCCTTATCTGGCTGGTGGGCCCAGGTTACTTTTCATGACTCAGCTCAGATGTTAGTCCCTGGATGCCCCTCTTTGACTGTTTTGGACCATCTTGTCTTCCCCTTCCTCAGAGCCCGATTTTTCCCCAAGGCGTTGTACCTGCTGTGACATGGTTGTGAATGACAGCAATGAGTTGGCACCCTTCATCCCCCACCTGCATGGTGGCTCTCTGATAAAAGGGAACATGTAAATAAGATTAGAGTGTAACAACAATATTCCCAGAATGTCTAGGATACAATCACAAATCACTCACCATACTAAAAACTAGGAAATTTTCAACTTGAATGAGAAAAAACAATCAACACACTCCAATATCGAGGTGACACCTATGTTGGAATCATACAAGATGTAAAGAAGAGCCAAACAGACAGACATCTTAGAACGGAAAAAAATTGAAAACTCTGTGGATGGCTCCATCGTAGGACTTGAAGATAGAATAGCAGAACTACCCTGATCAATGGAGAGCAACAGAGAGAAACTAGACAGAATGGAAAAAAGTGAACTGAGCCTCAGGGACTTGGGGGACCAGTCACAAAACACATTTATGTCATCATAGTCCCAGGAGAAGAGAAAGAGGGTGGGCTGAAAAGGTATTTGAAGAAACAATGGCTGAAAGTTCTCAAACCTACAGATTCAGGAAGCTGAATGAACCCTAAAAATGGCAAATCCAAAGATATCCACACCGGATGTGTCTCGGTTTGGAGGTGGTGACATGCACGCCGAGACCTAAATGAAGTGGGGGAGAGAACCCTACAGATAACCAGAGGAATGGAGTCCAGGCCACGGCATTAACATGTGCAAAGGCCCTGGGGCAGGAGCAGACCTGGAGGCTTGAGGGGTAGCAGGGAGACCGTGTGACTGGTGAGGAATGAGGAAAGGTGAGGGGCCAGACCCTGTGGAGCCTAGCGGACAGCTAAGGCCTTCAGATTTTGTGCTAAGTAGGACATGAAGCCATCTGAGGGTTTGCTTAAGGACATGATCTGGCTTTTTAAAAAGGCTCCCTGCGGCTACTCTGTGAAGCTGGCCCCTTAGAGATCTGTGGCAGTGGCCTAGGTGGCTGGAACCAAACGTGGGGCGAGTGGGACTGTGTGGATCCCCTGTTCTCCAGCACACCGTCCCTGTGAAACCCCCCACGGAACCACTTTCTCAGGTGGTACGGGCAGCTCGCGTATGTGTCAGGAAATAGTCATTGATCATTTTCCTCATGGCCGTGAGTCTCCCCCCAGTAAAGTAAGGGGGCTGGGTGACCTGAGCCGGAGGGAGGAGGGCAGTGGGACAGGGAGTGGACGTTGGCTGGCTGCTACTATGTGGGGGATGCCGGGGGCGGGGGGGCGCTTTCCTGTGTCAGCTGGGCCCCGAGGGTCTGCATGGCATGACTCTGTGGGCGGGGTCCTCTTCCACATGGACCACGCTTGTGGGCGTGCCAGACGACACTGGCAGGGTTGGATGGAAGACATGCTGAACGAACGCTGAAGAGATAATCAACGTGCGCGAGTTCATCCTTAAATAATCTAGTGCTCGGTGTGGGTACTAGAGTTAAATTTGTCCTGTAGCATCACATGGCAGAGAGGATGCGTTGAGATTATCACAGGGACTCAGCCGTTAGAAAAGCACTTTGAGTGAATGAGAAAGCAGAGGGCCAAGCTCGAGGGTCCGCTCCGAGCAGGCTGATGCCCCGCAGGCCCTAGGAGGGCAGAGCTGGTGCCCGGGGCCCTTGGATGCAAGGGCAGCTGTGGGAGGGGCGTGCCCTGGTGTCTCCCAGAGGCAGGGACAGTGAACGGAAGTCAGACGTGAGGCAATCTCCTGTGCCTGAGCTGCTGAGATACGACTAAGGCTTTCCCCACCGAGGCTGGGAGCCACGGTCGTGGTGGAAACAGCCGGCTTGGTAATAGCAGGGATTGCAAAATGGAGCAACGCGCCTTACAGAGCTGAGCCCGGCCTTGTCAAGTGCAGAAGTGCACCGCTGGGGTTGTAGGTACTCCCCGCTGACTTTGTGGACTCAGATCTGCTTCCCTGCCGGGTTTCAGTGGTGGAAGCACCAACTGGGCATCTTTCAAGGGAACGAACGAGGTTGGGGTGCTGGGGATCCTCAGTGGTTCACCAGGACTCACAGAACTCAGAAAAGCTCTTTAATGGTGTATCACGGCAGGATACAGACCGAAACCAGCAAGGGAAAAGGCTCCACAGGGCTGAGTCTGGGAGAAATGAGGCACGAGCTTCCACCTGTCTTTGCCCACTGGAGTCACGGAGGCTCAGCGCTCATGGCAGCCGTGCCTGGCCACGTGTATGAAGAATTACTGGGGAGCTCACTGCTGCCCTGGTGTGCAGGGCTTGTACTGGGAGTCAGCCTTGCAGGTGTGGGGTGCCGTGTCTCTAACCTTATCTGCTCGGTCTCCAGCACCCCAGAAGTCAAACCCATGCGACATGATTCGGAGCCCTAGGCGTTTGTCCTGAGTGACATGGTTAGTGTAAACCATCCCCGTGGCTCAGGGTCTCAGGTATACAGACACTCATCAGGCGGCATATTGCCTGGCTCAGAAGGGATTTCCCAGGAGCCATCCAAGGGCCAGTCCTGAAGGCCTTGGGAGGGGCAGGGCTTGGGGCAGCCGAGGCCTGTTGCACAGTTGGGGAAAAGACTTGCCTCCGAGTGGCCCCCACTCTCGTGTGGAACCAAGCCTTCCAAGCCCTTGTGGGGCTGGAGGGTGTTCGGTGGTGCCGGGAGCCTGTGGCTTCCATTCTCTGTGTTTGCAGGGGGCCCAGTCCCAGCTCCAGCGGTAGGACCCCTCTGGACACCGTGGCGCCGTTCGCTACTTTAGTTTCGGTCCAAGGCTGTAGCTGTCTCAGAGGGACCAGCGGCCATGTGTGGGGCCACCAGCTCCTGCCCCTGGTGCTCTGCTTGTTGCTGCTCCCCCCTTGGGGCCTAGAGACCCTGGCTGAAGCTTCTGGGGCTCAGGTGCTCGCCCGCAGGCCTCAGGCAGACCCTGCTCATCCCTGTCCTTTCTCCCTGCAGTTTCCTGTCAACATGGGGGACTCCCACATGGATGCCAGCGCCACCGTATCTGAGAGTGTGGCCGAAGAAGTGTCTCTTCTCAGCATGACGGACATGATTCTGTTTTCCCTCATTGTGGGCCTCCTGACCTATTGGTTCTTCCTCAGAAAGAAAAAAGACGAAGTCCCAGAGTTCACCAAAATTCAACCAGTGTAAGTGACCCTACTCAGGATCCCTCTCTCAACCTCCCAGAGCCCGTCCGTCAGTCCCGGCGGGGCCCCATCCGTGGGCCCGGGTCAGGAGGGAGCCAGACGAGAGAGGTGCAGGCTTCCTTGCAGCCCTTTGGGTTGAATCGTGGGTGGTGCCTTCTTGGTGGCCTGGGCTTCACATCTCCCTTAACCCCTGTGTGTCCACAGCACGTGGGGGTTCACGAGGTTCTTTCGGGTCCACTTCTTGTTCGCGTTTCTCGATGGAACCTCACAGGGACCATTCAGAGTCGAAGGCTCCGTTCCACGGGTAGATCATCTGAAGCTCGGGGGCATTAAAGGTCGTCAGCTCCTGCCAGCACCCAGTTAATATTTCACTCCAAGCCTGTGATCTTGTCTCGCGAAGCGAGGGGGTGGAGAGGTGCTGTTTGCACGGGCCACACACAGGGATGCAGATAATCGCTTCAGTCCCGTGGCCTCACTGACGTGGGCAGGATGGCACTTTGGCACTAAGGCATCTTTGTCACCTCACGCTTCCCAGTGTCCCTAGCAGCCTCAAGCTTAGGGCTCTAGGGGAGACAGTGGAGGAGGAGAACTGTTTTTCTGCTCTCCTTGAGACCCACACTGAACAGTTCTGTGCCCGGATGTGTGGAGAGTTTCTCCCACCCTCCGGACACTGCCGGGTGTGACACTGTCCGCCTGGAGTTAGCCTCGGATCCCACGGGTAAGGCCCCCCGCCACTGGTCACAAATCCCAGTGTCACCAGTTATAAATCAGAAGTTGCCAGAACCCCCTCCTCAGGTTTGATTCATTGGCTAGAGCAGCTCACAGAGCTCAGGAGAGCTGTTTACTTACTAGGTTATGGGTTTATTATAAAGGATGTAACTCAGGAACAGTCAGATGGAAGAGGTGCAGGGGACAAGGCATGGGGGGGCTGTGTTGCTTCATGCCCTCCCTGGGGGTGCCGTGCTCCCAGCACCCCCAAGGAAGTGCTCAGCACGCTGAAACCCAAAGTTCTCGAAACCCCGTGCTCTTGGGTTTTTATGGAGACATCATTACATCAGTGCAGGCATGACTGATGAAATCATCTGCCCTTGGGGATTCATTCACCTTCTGCCCCTCTCCCCTCCCCGGAGGTCAGGGGCCAGCCTGTCACATGGTTGGTTCACCTTCCAACCAGCCCTGTCCTTAGGGGCTTTCCAGGAATCACTTTATTAACCTCAACTCCAGTGTGGCTGAAGGGGGCTGGTTCTGAGGAACGGGAGACACCTTCGTTGCTCGTATCACTTAGGAAATGCCCAGGGTTTTAGGAGCTCTGTGCCAGAAAGGGTACGAAGACCAAATATGTATTTATTATAAGTCACGATGTCACAGACAGTGTCCAGCTTGACTTTACTCGTAACATTGTTTTTTTACTTATTTTTTTTTAAACCTTCCATAAAGCTTCCTTGGAAGAAGGTTTAAGTAAAAAGGCGAATTAGTTGAAAGAAAGTTTAAGAGCGCACCTGGTTTTTGGATATAAAAAAAGGACAATGTGACAAAGTGATGAAACCACTGTCCCCCCCCCCCAAGCCTGAGTTCTGAATCATTCCTGCAACCAGGTCACTTTGTCACATTTACTGTTGCCTGTGTTTTACTCAAACTCCTACCCCAGAGGCCTGCCAGCAGGTTTGCGGGGCTGGGGGAGGTCCCGTGCTGAGAGCCGCAAGGCCCGGGCCTGCCCTCAGGGGGCACCCCTAGTCCCGTCCCGAGCCAGTCCCAGGTGCAGGCCCTGGGACCCCTGGGGCCAGAACTCCCCAGGCTGGGCACTCAGGGTCCCATGGGCTCCTAATTCCCTGTGCCAGCTGCGGTAACCATTGCCTCTCCCAGAAAAGTTTTACGGTCTTCAAATGTCACAGCCGATCCTCAGAGAACACAGTCCTCGTACCACGGACAGCACAGTCGTTTTCCATTTTCGAAAGCTCAGCAAAGACCTCCCGAGGCCCCGCTCTGCCCCAGGTAGCCAGGAACAAAATAGAGGAAGTCCCCGCATTAATCAAGCTCACAGTCTGTCACTGGGTGGGGCCTGGGCGAGACCCTCCCTTCGCCCTGCCTCAGTTTTCCCGTCTGCTGAATGGAGACAATGACCCCATCCCCTGGGGCTCGTGTGGGCATGAGGTGAGGCGACAGTGATGTCTCCTAGCGCATTCCTGGTGCCGGTGGCTGCAGCGTGTGTCAGAGTATATTTTGTGTCGAGCCCTGTGCTGGGCACTGCAAGAAGACAAAGGTGGCATTGACGGGAAAGAAAAGGCGCAGTCAGGACATCGAGGGGTACTTTGTACAAATGCTCTAGGAAATGCGCCCGTGCGCGTTGTCTGATCAGGACCTCTGCCACAGCCCCAGGCAGACAGGGAGACACAGCCTCCGGGAACTCGGAGATAGAGGGACCGGAAGGTGTGCCGAGGGGGGTTGGTGTTGAGCAGGTTCTAGAAGGTGCTGTCACACCCCAAGGCTTGGAGGGCTTTGCCCGCAGAGGGCCAGAGGCAGGCTGGAAGGACCGGCTGGCCCTCAGGATTCCAGCCTCTTGTGCTGCGGCTGGCCCACATGCCTTCCTGGTGTGGAAAGTATTTGGGAGGAGAAAAGTGTGGTACACAAGGTAAGGGACCAGTCACCAGGTCCCCGTTTCCAGTGGCCCCGAGTTTGCTCATCTGGAAAGTGGAGGTGTCCCCCACACACCCATGCCCTGAGTGCGTGGGCCTTCCGCGGGGGACCCCCTCCCAGTGCCGTGGGTCCAGACCCCAGAGTTGGGTGACAAAGGTTCGAGTCCTGCCTCTACCGCTGAGTAGTCGTGCGACGTTCCCTGTGACTTAATCTTTCCAAGTCCACGCCCTTGGCTCTTAATGGAGGTCATAACCGCCCTATGTCTTGGGCTGTAAAACTGAAACGCTCTAATCGTAATCATCGGTGAGTGCTTTGCCCAGGTCCGGGTGCAAATGGCCGTGGCCCCGCCCCCGAATGACGTGTATTGTCTTTGTCCTTACTATTAGTATCCTGTCCAGTCTCACCAGAGCCCTTCAAGGAAGGCTTTATAGCCCCGCCTTGCGGATGAGCATACTGAGACGCCAGTGACCGAGGACCCAGGTCACCTAACTTACAGGGAGCAGAGCCGGTCATCCAGCCAGACCTGCAGACTCCACAAGCCACGCTTCCCCCTTCACCGCGATGCCCTCGGCATCTTAAGATGGTGCCAGTGCCCTATTTCACACCTGAGAAAACAGACTCCGAGAGGTCACTCAGCTGGCCCCCCGGGGCCATAAACCTGGCCCTCCTGCTGTAAACCCCGCAGCTCTGTCCCTGGCCACTTCGCTCTCCAGCCCGTGCAGGTGGTCTCTGCCACAGCACAGAGCCTCCGCGGCCCCCAGCTCAGTGGGAAGTCACAGGCTTAGCGTGGGGACTGTGCATGGCCCTGGGCTGCATGGCTCACAGGGTGAGGCAGGATGGAAGGACCGGCTGGCCCACGTGCCTTCCTGGTGTGGAAAGTATTTTGGGGGAGTCCGGGGGGTGCAGACAAGGCAGTCAGAGCCTGATCAGCAGGGCCGCACGTGGGCTGCATGGGGGATGGACAGGGATGGATGGAGGGCCGTCGGGAGGAGGGTGGAGGGGGCGCTCCAGGAAGCGGGCCTGAGAGAGATGGTGAGGCCAGAGAAGGGAGTCCTGGGGCTAGCCCAGGGAAGGCACAGTCGATGGGACACGGGGGCCTGGGCGGGAAGAGCCGGGAGGGCCAGCGGGAGTCTGCGCAAGGCAGGCTTGGGAACTGGGGAGACTGAGGATGCCTCTGGGAGTAGCTAGGTGGGGCAAGGGAGCCGAGCAAAACCCAAAGTTAAGAGATTTGGACCCTTTGCAAGCATCGGGGGATGGGGTGACTAGAGAAGAGAGAGGCCAGGCTGCTGGAAGGAAGACCGTGGCTTTTTTTTTTTAAGGCTTTTGTTTTTTGTGTTTAGGCTGAGTGAGCTGTGGTTAGCAGGGTTAGGCCACCCGCTACTCCTTTGTCTGTCTGGTCCCCATGGCCAGCAGGGGACATGAGCAGGAGACCAGGGAGGGTCAGAGGGAAGGTCAGTTCTGGAAGGACTGCTTTGTTTTTGTTCGTCCCCTTTCTGCTGAAGTGTATATGATGCATAGACATAAAAGTACGCACGGCTTGATGGACATGTCACCAAAATGGACCCCACGGTGTCTGTGTCACAGAGCACGTGCTCTGAGGTATATGTGACGTTCTTTGGTCTCATTTGGTTTTCCATTATGTGAATGACCGTAATTTCGTCATCCTGATAATGACAGACATTCCAACAGGTTCCAGTCGGGAGAACACTTACAAACGGTGCTCTGCGTGAACATTCTAGTGGGCGTGTTTGGCTCCTGTACGGACATGTTTCTGTTCCGTGTGTGCCGTGACTCAGAGCTGGCAAGGTGTGGGGCAGGTTTAGATTCAGCTCCGGTGGATCCTCCTGAACGGTTTCCCAACGTGTCTGTCCCAGTGTCCGGCCCGCCGCCAGCATGGCCCATTCTCACACTTGTTTTTGTCAACTTTTTTATTGTAGCCATTTGAACAGGCATGTGGTGGCATCCTGTCTTGATTTGCAGTTCTCTGAAGATCCATGACCTTGTCGTATGTTTTACTGGACATTTACAAACCTTTGGTGAAGGTCTGTTCAAGAATTTGCCCATCGCTCCCACTGGGTTATGGGCCCCATTGATTTGTCAGGGTTCTTTATATTCTAGATATGAGGCCTTTGTTAGATCAACGTACTGTAAATATCATCTCCCTGCCGTAACTTGCCTCCTTACCCTCTTATTCATGTCTTTTGATGATCAGAAGTACTTGACTTGGGGCACCTGGGTGGCTCAGTCGGTTAAGCAACTGCCTTTGGCTCAGGTCATGATCCTGGAGTCCCGGGATCGAGTCCCGCATCGGGCTCCCTGCTCGGCGGGGAGTCTGCTTCGCCCTCTGACCCTCTCCCCTCTCATGT